CGCTTTCCTTTGCCCCTTTCCTTAGTACTTATGTTTATCCTATGGAACGGTTTAATGAATATCATCACCATCATCATTACCACCATCGCTATCTTCAATTACCATTGCCATCGTGTTGCTAGGTTTTTTGTAGGATGTGGATAGCAGTAAAGTGTAATTAAATAATACTCCTCGAAGAAAGTATTACCTGGAAGTATTACTAACTATAATTCTGATAATAGAAAATATTTAGTGAAAATGAAAATTATGCGTCGGTAGTTCAATGGTAGAATTCTTGCCTTCCAAGCAAGAGTCCCGGGTTCGATTCCCGGCCGACGCATCGTCATTCTTTTTGTAGCATCGTTGCTTTCAAAACGATCCTCATTCTAACAACACAGATCTCTTCATGGATATACTGAATTCACACAGCGTATTGATTGCAATCTCAAATGATAATAATAGTGCTTTGAGTATTGTGTTTTCATTCATATCACGTCAATTCTCCGCTGGGTGTGACCTGTGCATCCATCATAACATCTTGGTCTTACTGAACTATAGTAACATAAGATCAAAACAGAGGGGAAAGTGTGAGATGTTTCATCTTGGTCCTCACCCAAAAACCACTCCACTTACATCCATTTCCGGGTGGGCATCTTGGAATTTCTTTAGCGCCTCCATCTTTTTGAGCTCATCACTCGATGGCTGGCCTTGAGCCTTTTGCCGCTGATCAAACATCATTTTTTCCACCATCCCCCGGGTTTCCCCATCAAGATCCTCCAATCGAGAGTTCTCGGGAGCAAGCTTGGAGGTATCAATTTCTGGAGCTCCCTGAACCACCGACTTCCACCATTGCTGACGATCCGACTTTTCCAGATGAATGAACAGGAGCTTTTGATCCTCTACGGTCCATGTGCACTCCTCCTCCTGGACACTATGGGTAAGTTTCCCCTGAAAGGCATAAATGTAAACCAAATACGATTAGACGTAGGATAAGCGGGTATGGATGAGAAAGGGCATGGCATACACGTACCTCCAATACAGGCTCGTCTTGCCCTGGGACCTGGACACGAATGGATGTGGTAGTGATGCTGACCTTGAGCATCTTTGCCCTGGTGCCCACCGGTAAGGAAATAGACACGTCAAGGTCAGCGAGAGTTTGTTTCCAGCGATAGGGGAGGGCTATAATAAAGGACGAGCGGGGCCCATGCCGGGGGAAATTCAAGGCAATGGGGATGTCAGTGATGTGCTGGCATCGGGTGATCTTTCTGCGCGTCTACAACCAGTCAGCCTGATCCTCAAAGTAAATTACCTTCTTGCTCCTGTTTTTCCTTTTGAAGTTGCTCAGCGGTGCTGGTCGACTCTGGCGTAGACATGGTGGAGGTGAAGCGGTGAAATACTGGGAGAAGATAAGAATGTGGTGTTGAAAGGAAAGTGTGCGGTGTTGTGAGATGGGAAGGGCGTGGTTTGGTGTCTAGCCTGATAATGATGAAATATGCACACCCCTTCAGCTTCCAACGCGATACCCACTTGAGTAGGTGCCCGGGATAAAGTATAAATGCGTTCGATCCGTTCATTCATCATGCGTCAAACCGAGTATCCATCCTCTCTCACCATCTCTAGATCAATCTTGAGCCCACCTCACCTCAGCTGAACCCAGTATCTAGTACGCTCAGTATCACATGTTTTCGTTTTCTTTATCCTCTTCTTTCACGCATACAGTCAGTTCTTTCTCCGCTTATTTTTTACTTCCTGCTGGTGCTCGGGTAGCTCGAGATGCTGTGGTATGTCTAGTGGAGAAGGAAGGGGAAGATGGAGCAGGGGAGGAGAGAGATGAGGTCATGATGGGCCTTCCTGATCGATGATCTAGACTTGAGGATAAGCCTGATCCTTTGCCATCTGAGGCCACCCGTACCCCTCCAGACGCTTCCCAACCCGCTTCCTCTGTCTCGTCAGCCTTGCCCCCTAGAGCACCGCCACCTCCGTGAGATGAGGAGGCGATGTGCTGGGTTCGAGGTCTACGGCGATGCGCAGTGCTGGCCATGGAGCCATGGCCACTGGGCTGCCGAGCCCGAAATCCACTTGGTCCTGAGCGTCCCCCCGAAGATATTGCGGAAAGTGGAGGAGGGGAGGAAGAGGACGAGGAGGAGGAAGAAGAGGATGAGGGGGAGACTGAGGAGGGTCCCCCGCTCCCTGAGATCCCTCCATACGTCAGGGGTTGGCGGGATAATCTTTCTTGTTTGGCCTGAACAGCACGAAAGTGAGAAAGGAACTCTTGTAACCTCCCCGTTTCAAACACCATGGTGGCAGAGGAGCCGCCCGATAATGATGTGGTGGTAGCGGAGGAGGGGTTTCCCCCCGACGGAGGCCCTCCACGAGAGCGATAGCTCCCACTCCCACTGTTGGTGCTACTGGCTCCACCAGCGCCACCCGATGTAGCCCCAAAGGAGGCGGAGATAAGGCCCATGGAGCTGACGCTGTTCAGACGATTACGTAAGGTAGCGAAAGCACTACTTTGGGGAAGAAGCATGAGAATCCCATAGAGGCATTTGTAGAGATGAGGATATCGCTCAGGCTCGAGGAGCTGGAGCCGAAGATAGGTAAAGACAGGGGATTCGAGGAGCTGAACTAGCTTATCCACCTGGATAAGGAAAGCCACGGTGATATCCAGCTCGGCAAACACCTGTAAAAGGTTGGCAGCATGCTCGTACATCTGGGCCAAAAGGCATAGAGAAAAGGTGGCAACGGCATTATGACACCAGCACTTGTAGAGGATGGCAAGGAGCCCTGCATTTTCACGAACTTCCAAATGACGAAGACGCCTGCGAAGGTCAATGAGCTCCGTAGCCGTAAGGAGGATGAGATTCAGGTGTTGGACCATGATGCCCACAAATTCTAAATCTTCTTCGGCAGTACGCTCGAGGATATCTGCAAAGGTACGATAGATACGTTCAGCTTGCATGCTACGACACAATTGGCGGATGATCAAAGATCCCCGACTCTCCAGGAGTCTCCGATCCGTACTGAACAAGGACAACAGACTACTAAGGAATCGAGTAAAGTACTCTTCCTCCTCAGAGTATTCGCAAATCTGGGCGAGGAGTTGGAGATCCCGAGTGATGACTTCTTCCGAAGAGTCAGATAGAGTTTTGAGAAGGGCTGGGAAAGTTCCCCCTTCCATGGTGAGGATGCGAGTGGGGGCCTTGCGATGAAGCATGAGTAGCCACTCAAGGGCGGCTACGCGAGTCTCTTCGTGGTTGTTGATGAATTGATAGGTAAGGCAAGTGACGGTACCTGAATAATCCAGGACCGGGGGAAGCTCCTCCTCTTCCTCTTCCTCCTCCTCTTCCATTATTTCCTCCCCTCCTTCATTCTGCATGTCCCCGTCTTTTACTGAGGGTTCTTCCGGTTTGGCTGAAGTCAGGCTTTTACCATTTACATCCCCCTCTCCTGACTTGTTTCCTGATCCACCATTCGATTGGGTAACTATTGATGTGGGTATGTGAGCTGAAAATGGGAGGGGGGTACCGGAAATAAAATGACACGCAGAGTGCTTCATATATCATCCCTACTGCCCAATCAATGCTTACCAAGGCGGGGAGAAGAAAATGCTGTGCTGGGCCCGGATGAGCCTGTAGTCGCATTATCATCTTGAGTGGCAGGGGCGGGGGGGACTGGCGAATCCTGGATAAGTCGATAAAGACGCTCATTTGCGGTAATGGCGATGTTACGAATGGTAGAGACACGATGAGCCAGTGAAGGGAGAATGGCCTGTAATAGGTCAGGGACAAATGGGAAGATGGTTGGACGGATGAGGCCAATAATGTCGTCGATCCACTTGAGGGCGGTTGCCTGAATCTCCTCATCTAAAGGGCAATGTTAAATCATTAAAAGGGTGAGGGAAAGATGAGGGGCCGATTGACAATTGTCGTGCCTTTCCTCCGAAAGCTCATGATAATCCTACCTTCGGAAGTTAGATGAGGGATTAGAATGCCAACGATGCTAGGGCAATCAATATGTACCTCCTGGCCCGGAACCCAGGGGCTCCCCACCGCATCCTCTCCGTGTCGAATTTCCCCCGGGATAATCCCATGGACACGTTGATGTTCCCGGAGCCTACGATTGACCTGGAGGGAAAGACGAACCTCGCGAAGAAACTCAGCCAAGACCACAGAGGCAGAAGACCGAATTTCCTGATGAGAATCACGAAGGAACAGGAGTAGTCCATTAAGGAATTGTGGCAGGTAGGAGACGAGATCAACGTCAGGCAGAGAATTGAGGATTGAGAGCCACTGCAGAAGGAATTGACGAGTATTCGGATGCTGAGCATGGACGCGTTCGGCCAGAAGGGGAATGAAGTTTGATAGGGAAAAGGGGGATACGGGGGCTAGGCCATGGGTAGGTCCTGAGGAAGAGATGGCCATTGGGTCATGGATGGAATCAGCAATGATGTCCTTGAGGAGACGGTCAAGCAGCTCTGCGCCCTTTCTAACCGAATCCTCAGAGTCTGTGCATAGCTAGCGACGGAGAGTAATGGAAGAGAAAAAGATGAGCAGATGAGATTATGGATCAACCAAACGTAACATGCCCCCCATCCAGAGAAAGCTACAGCGCGAGGTCGAGTAAATTACCTTGCTGAGCGAGTCAAAGATCTCGTTAAAGTAATGAAGAATATCTCCCTTGACGACTTTGGCAATATTATACATGGATTCACAAGCATAATACCGAACACGAGGCTCGAGATCGGTGAAACAAGCGAGAACCGGAGGGACAATGTCCATGAGATAGCTTCGTGCATCCTACAAAAAGAACGGAGAAAACGTTTTTAGATTGGGTAAGCAGGGAGAAGGTCTCGCGTTTTGATGGGTCACCCCTCCCATATCCGACTTACCGGGCCAAGAGCAATGGTAGTGGCTGCTAAACCAATCAAGCCTCCATTTCGCATATTAGAGGCTGGGGAGTAGGCAAACTCGTCGATAAGAAAACGTATGACTCGGCGGATTCCTTCGGTATCTTTGATGACCATTAGGCCATGGATCAGCCTATCCACCTCAATAGCCGCGGCCTTGCGTTTGTCATACAGTCGATCCTGCAGACCCTTGATGACCTGAGGAGACAGGGGCTTATTATCTGACATGGCGTGACCAGAGTGTAGGCACAATGATGAAGGGAATAACTGCTTAAAAAGTGAAGGGGGGGGGGGGTGGTGTGGAAAAGGGCAAGGCTGTTGGGGCGTATAGGGGTGGTGGATGGGAAGGAGGATAAGATCCAGAATTCAGTCCCAGCTAATATGGCCGGCCTTTGCCGACTGACAGGCAACACCACACACGTACGCACTCTGAT